AGTGTTGTCAGTTTTGGATCAGGACGAGTAACATATACAACTGAGGTTCCAATTAGCTCGGAAATGTAAGAACAAAGAACCAGGGTGGGTACATCCTGAAACAGATCGGAGTAGAATTACCCAATAACATTGAAACTCGTTGATGAACGCTCACCGATCGCTAAGGGCGGATCACTCGTCCCGCTCTGCCTTGGGGCACATTGCTCGAAGCCCACAGGTGACCGCACAGTGGCTGGTCGTGCAGGCAGATAACCTTGCCGACATAGAAACGAGAGAGTGGAATGGCTAACGTTAAGAACGTTAGACTTCTGGTCAACAGGCGGCAGTTTAGAGCCTCGGGTGTTGCACAACTTGGGTTTGGACTTGCCTGGGGGGTGACAACTTATGAGCCAGTAATGACCAGTCCAGTAACCCTTGCCTTTGCCGGTAGTGTCATCTGCGTACACCTTTTGCCCCTGTGCGGCTGTTGGCGGGGTTCATCAACGGGTGATACGTTTTTTTGAGCATCAGCATTGCGCTCCATTCAAATCTCTGAGATGTTTGTCTTTGATACCGCAGCCCTGTGAGTTGTCTCAAAGGAGATATCCGGGATCCTCATTCAAATTTTTACAGCGGTGAGAATAGACAAATTTGACATTTGTCCCTATGGAAATATTCTAAAAACTTGCCCATAAGCAATCCCCATAGGATGGAGGTCGGTCCTTTGTTTTGGTATCCAGTATCGGCCGTTTGGCGTGTAAGCAGCATACAAATCCTCTCAGGCTCTTTGTTGCCACCCCCTGCCGTCGAAACATATAAACGCTCACGTAGTCTCCTAACCAACACTGGGGTTGATGCTTTTGTATATAACCCCCGTGGTAGACAGGCGCTCAACGACTAATCACGGAAGTCAATCGTCCTGTTCGGTTCACTCTTGAGCCCCTACAACAGCTACTCAACGGCTAGCAGACAGTATAGGCAGAAATGCATTATCGACAATCACAAAGGGGACTTGAATGGTCATTTCTGACTGATTGGCCCTCATCAGCGAGTCCTATTCAACACCAGGGGTGTATGTTTCGCTCAGTCTGTTCTGGTCACTCCCTTATGGGCCTTTTGATAAACATTTGTAAAACACTTTTCGCTTCTACTTCTTAACTCCTCTAGCCCTTTACCTGCTCCTGTGGAGCAGGTAATATTGGTCAAACGAGTCGACCCCTAGTAAAAAGAATGGAGGAACAACTTCCGACATGACTGACATAAGGTGAAGTCAGGAGGATGAGCAGCACCATGCTCGCGCACATAGTTGTTTACGGGCATTGTGAGGGCC